ACCACTAAAAATGTAGAAAGGGCGACGACTTTTTTTCACGTGTCACCAGAAAAGCGTGCCAGTTATCAGTGTAGTATCAATCAGTGTAGTATCAACAGTAGGGTATATATATATATATATATATATATATATATATATATATATATATATATATATATATATATATATATATAACATACTGTGTGAATACCATAATGATTGGCAAGTAGAGCTGATAGAGATTTAATAAATTACTGAAAACACTCATTATATTGGTAATCGTATATGCATAGGTCAAAAGAAATGAAAGAAATTGCAGGATGAACAATACCTTTTCTTTTTCCAATATCATGGATTATTCCTTTGTTGAAAATGTTTAATTCTATAGAAATATGTGGTAAACAAATCATGAGAGTCTAGTATTCTATAATGTTATAATCACAAGAATGTTCATACAGATATTATTAGAGGCACATACAAAAATTATACACCTGGTCATCTTCAGATTATTAATTGCCTATCAAACTACAGTTGACCTTATACCAGAATTTTGATTATGTGTATACAAGAATGCAATCAACACTGAGATTCTTTATCAGTAGGACCACCTTCCCGCCATACCCCCAATTAATAAGAGAGTATAATTAAAATTATTTGTATCTAAGATAAACGGTGTTACAATGGGAAACACATAAACAATGCTATAATTACCAAGCTATGTCGAACTTTCTTTCCAAAGCAACACTTACAGAAATGTCCTAGTGGTTAGAGAGTCTGCTCTAGAGTCGCGGAGTAAGGAGTTGATCCTTACGTCGCGGGTTCGAATCCCACTGTGGGACGTGGAGACCGGTCCTTCGGATGAGACCGTATAAACCGAGGTCCCGTGTCGCAGTAGGTGCTGGCACGAAAAAGATCCCTCACTGCTCAATGGCCGTCAGTGCCGAGTATAGGACAAAATTTGCAGCTCTCCACCGGCGGGTGGTGGCGTCTCCATATGAGTGAAAAATTCTCGAGAGGGACGTTAAACAACATACAAACAAACAATCAGAAATGTCCTACATATTATTGACTGCACAGAGATTTTTACTGAAACATCGAATAATTTGCAGTGACTAAAAACCATACCGCAAAAATCTCTGCATTACTCATGCTGGAATGATTAACTTTATTCAGAAGCATGGACTGGTCGTGCCAGTGATAAGTTTGTGACTTTTAATACTGGATTTCTGAATATTATAGAGCCATATGACAAGGTTATGGCTTATAAGGGGTTCCCTATATATAAGAGAAGAGCTCACCTTGTTAGTGGCTGATCTCTTGATTTCCTCAGGTAGATGCGGGGTTTCTCAAATGTCTGCCTCTGATGTTACAAAACATTAACAAACAGGCGCATACATGTGGAACAGGCAATACGCCGTATGAAGCAGTTTCACATTATCAAAAATGAAATGCCAATTACACTTTTAATCATTTGGATGAAACAATTAAAGTCATTACTGACATTTGCAATTTATACCCACCACTACTAAGATATTAAGGACACATGTGTCCTTGTATATATCTTATGATTTGTTTTAATTAGTTGTAAACAATGCATATATTGAATTCCCATGATAAGAAATTGTAAAGTTTCTACAATGCTTCAAGTGTTCACTTTCTGCCATTTCCATTATAAATATGTACAATTTTTCATCGCTTGATGAAACTCTACTGAGAAATCTTACATAAAAACTAGACTTTGACCCGTGCGTGCACGGGTTGACATTGTTATGAATGCATCCATGTACATATCGGACATTTACAAAATAGATACATCGACACATTCATATTGTACGGTATTTTTGAAATAAACAATGAATGTTAATATAATTCTGTTTTTTTTTTTGTGTTTGTTTTGTTTTTGTTTGTTTTTTTTTTAAATTGTTGCGTAACGGCGTAGCGCAGAATGGGTTTGACCACCAGTTAGCTATAAATCAAGTCTTGAGTTCGAATCACGCCGGAGCTTACATAAATTTCACCTTTCCAAACAAATTTAATAAAAGAAATTATGGATGTTCATTGAAAATATGACAACAGCAAAGAGTTGAGCACACTGCTGATACATATCAAGCAAAGTAATGAAAATGAAGAAATGTGCTAAGCTGGTATTTTTACACAATCAGTTATTAAAGTAAAGGTGTAAAAAATTTTGTAACAATTTTAACACTGCAGGTCTCAACTTTTTCAAAATATGACCTCAACAATAAAAGAGTTAAGCACTGCTAATACATATACTTTATATATACACAGGTAATAGACAGGTATATAATCTGTAAAAGACTGTCTGTTTTGATAAAAATTAATGTAATATCCTTGAATTAGAACATAGAGAAAGTAATAAAAATAGAAGCTTAATTGAGAAAAAATAAAAACAAATTGGTAATCTTCAAGTACAAATGATGTTTAAAATACATAAAACAAAAGACAGTATTTTCCCGATTTATCGGTATTAAAGGCCAAAAATTCGAGTCTATAATTTTTATATAGTAGCTATCGTAATTTTTGGCGAAAAAAGAATGCCTACTTCACTAAGATGTGATTCTAACTGGAGTTGTAACACCCCCCCCCCCCTTCACTTCCCCTCAAAAAAACATAAAAGAAAGGAAGGATAAAATAAATCGGGTAGTTACATTTATGTTGCTTCTACGATCATGAGCTTTTTGCCTCCTTTGAAATGGCCAGAGATATAAATAACATATAATAAATGTGTCTCCGAGATGGCGAATGATTACCCACGTGGCCACAATATAAACTCAGAAACGATTACGATAATTCAAACATAGACGTCAGAAGCAAATTGAAAGTGGGGTGGCTATTTGAAAGTGGGGGGGGGGGAGCTAAACCAACGAAAAAAGGTAAGCCCCAGTTTTCAATGCCTATATTATGCCTATCTTTGCAAAAAAAAAGGGGGGGCTAAGCCCCCGTAGCCCCCCCCCCCCCCCCCCGGTTCCGACGCCTATGACAAATACGTGTAAATTTTCATTGGAAATTTGTTATATATTCTGTTCATATACATTAATGATTTCTTAATTAGAGAAATTATACAATAACAAATATATATCTACTTAGTATTTACTTTGTCTCTGATTTGAACACACTCTCGACCAACGGCTCATACATTCGTGTATAAGAGAGAAACGAACGACAACTCTGCAAGGGAGATTGATTTGAACACCGTGACTTAGCGTGAATGTAATGCGCACGCGCAAGATTGTAAAATCCAAAAAATCCAGATGATTTCCGGAATTTTTCGAGGAATTTTCGTTGATTATTAATTAGCGAAGCTTAATTGAGAAAAAATAAAAACAAATTGGTAATCTTCAAGTACCAATGATGTTTAAAATATATCAAACAAAAGACGGTACTCTTCCGATTTATCGGTATTAAAGGCCAAAAATTCGAGTCTATTATTGCAGCCCGGAGGACCGGGCTGCTCTATACATATAAGTTTAAGTGTTGGTATATGGGGATTGAGGTGGGAGAAGTTATTCAGAATTAAAGGTTTTCTAAACATTAAAAAGATTGTTAATCAGAATGTTCTTTCCCTTTATAAATTACGAGATACACAATAATTTTACTTCCATAAAGTGAATCTGTAAAAATATATATGTTTTTCATATTTAATATATAAAGTTGCTTATCATTTACTATCGAAAAAACGACAGGTCCCTTTTTTTAGAACATCGAATTTTACTTATCGCATAAAAACGTAAAAACGTACTTTACACAGTTCCTGTTTTATAATCTTAAAGTGAAAGACATTTTTGAAAATAGGTGATGCATGTGTCTGGTTTAAAATTATATTTTGTGCAGCCAACATTTACTTGAGGAATTGATAAAGTTTAAAAGGATATCGTTTTTGTTCGATTTTCATCCGACTATAAGTTTTCAAAATAGTCTCTACTATTGTCTCCATCATTTAGACGCATGCGTTTTTCACAAATATCGAAGCGGTTTGATGATCAAGACTCATTTCCATTGTTTACTTTATTTATTTCCCGGGCGACAATTGATGGTTACATCAATGTTTTCTTGTTTTAATATAGTAGTATAGATAAAACATTACATAATGAATTTTATTTATTTGACTTACATACACAAAAACATGAATCGTATGTATTTTCATGGTTTGTGAAAAATTGTGTTATGAGAAAATGTTCTATTATGCCATTTATAGTGCATGTGTCTACACACTATGCTACAATATATTTCATAGGCAAATAATTTCAATCTTTGTGAGATTTTTGCGTATCGTGGAGATTTTACATAAAATATACTTTAATGTTAGATGAAATATCAAATCAAACTTTATCATTGAGATTTATTTTTTCACCTTCAAAATCAATAACCTTTCATTAAATAATCAGGAATTTTATATAACATATTTTACACTATAATTCTTGTCACTTACGTGTTAAGAGCACATTAAAGTTATACAATTCAACAGTTTAATCAAAAGTGGAAAAGAAGTTGATATCGGACATATCATATCGTTTCCATATCAATTATTGTGATGTCACAATGGTTTTTGTGTGAAAGTGATACAGAATAAAGTGAATTCATCTACAGTGTATAAAAATACTGCAAAACATGACATGCTCTAGCTATGTAAAACATGATAAAAAGAATCTTTAATGGTTTGTGGTTAGATACAATTTTTATAAAATTCGTTGCGTTTTCAGCCCCTCTCCAAGGCTCGGAGATAGAAAACACATAATATTGGGATAAAAATCATATCCAACCACAAACCTTGGGCGAACTGAAATATTAAATGCATCGGTTGTTGCTCTTCGAAAATGTCAGTAACTTGGGGAAGCCCATGTCATTGCAGTTAATGCACGTTCGTGTTATGCCATTTTCGAAATCATATTTAAAATTTTCAATCAAAAAGTAATCAGATAAATCCATTATGTAAATATATTCAAAATAAATTTAACGTCTGATAACAAATACTTTATTAAAGTAACACGAACAATAGACTGGCGTACTATTATAGTTTTCATAGTTCTTGCTGCAGATTAAAAAAAAGTAATAGGAAAAATGTATTTTCCCTCAATAATCTGAAAAAGAAAGAAAAAATAATAATTACAAAGGAAATATTTAGTTAATTTATTTCGTATTTGTTATCTGTATGTCAGTATCAAATTTTTTTACCAAGGTAGGGTTCAATAAATAGTGAGGTCATCGTTTGTCCCACACCTTCCAAGGCCTCCAATTCCCTTCAATATATTCTGTCAACAAATGTATGCATCACAACAATTATATCACTTACTATCATTAACGGTTTGCTTTAGAAAAAAAAAATCATTAAAGTGTTATAATTATCAAAATTCAATGAAAAGAAAGGAGAGAGAGAGGAGGATTTTTTTTTCTTTTACAGTTTACATAATAGATATCTGGTTGGTTGGTTATACCTTCCAATCTTTCCCTGTCTTGGTCCACTCGCCGAGATCGGTAGGTTTTCCTAAAAAAAAAAACAACAACAATATTTGCATTATTATATTATATATATTTGCATTGCAATATTTATATTCCCTTTAAGAATAAGAATATTTTCAGATATATCCTAGATTCTACTTCTAATAGATTTTTTAAGCCTGGAAAAATTAAATGTTTCTTTATTCATTTTTAGATAGAAGTTTCCATAGCGGTCTAAAAGTTAATGATTTATTTTCCATTTGCAAATGTTTCACATCGTTGTCGAAGAGAAAGAAATTTAAATGAAATTTCAATAATTGGCAAAGTTTAAGAAAACTTAATTACACACTTTTGTCGAGGTTATAAAGACGCCGTGAGAGGCAAACAATTCACTTCGATATATAGATTCATGGAAATAGACGACTTGTCTCAACAGTATACAAAGGGCACGGTTTACTTAAGTTATAAAATGGCCCTGTCCCTACTCCCGACCAAGTCCGAAAGTCCTATTTCAAACATCAATATTAAGTAGAGACTTAGTGCTTTCACTTCCTATTAAAAAAAAGTTTCCTCCAAGAGTCCATGTATTGAAAGACAGACTTTTTAAAATTGCAATGTTATTAAATTTTGAAGAAAAATGGTGTATTTGAGCACCTTCAACAAAGAACAAAACTATGAGCCCACCCGCGAAGAAAAAAAAATACATGGTTTATTATCTTTTAAAACAATACTTTCATTATACAATTAAACGTTTTAGATCAGAGGTTGGGGTCTACGCAAATTATTGAAAAACTGCTTACATTTTTGGCAATTTTTAAAGAAATTTTGATGATTTGAAGGATAATGACGCAATTCATGACGTCATAATGCATAAACTACAGTGTAGGGAGAAAATTACGTCATTTTTAATAGGTATGCCATCACCAAGGATCCGAGCAGAATTGAATGTATTTTCAACTAAAACTGGGCACTATTAATTTTCAGAATTCACAGGGCCATAAAAGGCCATAAGTGAACCTTGTTCTTTAAGCAATAATTAGATCATATTAAACAAATTAAAGCTTTAGCGATTAAAAAAGGACTTGGTCGCTTCGCTCCCTTCGCATGAAATATGTGGAGATAACGAACAGTATTCGAGCTCAAAAGTCCATGAAACATTACAAAATAGGAGTAGAGCAAACACGGACCTCTAAGACATCAGAGGTGGGATCAGGTGCCATGGAGAAGTGAGCATCCCCTGCCGACCGGCCACACCCGCCATGTGCTCCTTGTCATGATCAGGAAACAACGGAAATATACTTCGACAATTCAGTGTGTAAATAATGGCCTAACAGTTAGTGAACTTCTGAACTTAACCCGCTTTTTTCAGTTCTATATTAATCAAATGTTCTCATTTTTCCGTATCGGTCACGGTAGCCTAGTGGTAGGGCGTTCGCTTTGTGGTCGGTAGGCCGGGGTTCGATTCTCGTTTGCCGCGCCGCGTCAAACCTAAGACGTAAACACAGGTAGTGACTGTTCCTTCTCCAAGCGTCCTGCACTAGAGGTGAAAGTTACGGGTCTTTCGAATGAGACCTTAAAAACTGAGGTCACGTGTCACGACAGGCGTTGGCACGATAAAGAACTCTCACTGCCTAATGGCCCTGAGTGCCGAGTATAAGTCTGAGTGCCGAGTATAAGCCTTCACCGGTATACATGGTAACGTCTGTAGGAGTGAAAAATTCTCGAATGGGAGGTTAAACTACAATCAATCAATCTTTTTTTCGTTTTTGTTTCTAGAACCGTCAGCAAGCTTATTTCAAAAAGATAGGTGAGCTAACGCTGTAACCATTATAGCCAGAAGTCTCTGACGAGACTGTAGCTCTACTGGTTCTTTTAGTGGCAAGATTTATTGCAATAAGACTAAAACTCTAGCTGGAGTAGTCTTTTAAAAGAATTTTACTGAAATTTCGATTTTAGTAACCATGGCAGCATCATTCATCAAAAACCTATAAAAGCTTTTTGAAAAATTGTTTACAGACGGACGGACACACAGCTAGACAGACAGACACCATATTATCGCATAAGCTCTTCTGGTCTCTGACCAGTAGAGCTTAAAGCAGAAATAATTTTAATGAATCGATTAATTATTGATTAATTTAAAAAAACAATGCTCCAAAGATTTTTTAATGACCCCGCCCTATTTCTGTCTTTTCTTGATTATCTCCTCTCGTTAGGTGACTTGGTCCTTCATTTTAATTTTAAACTCTTCTTCACCCAAGGATGCTTTGTACGAAGTCTCGTTAAATGTGGCCCAGTGGTTCTTGAGAAGAAGTTGAAAATGTGAAAAGTTTACAGACGGGAGGACGAAAGACAAAGGGCGATTAGAAAAGCTCACTTGAGTTACTGGATGTTATTTTTATCTTACAAAATGGAGTCCCTTCCCATCAATTAAAGCACTGGCTAGACAGAGTTGTTTCTTATGTGGTATATTTTAGGTTATATCGTACGTTGCATGCAACGAGGTTTACCTCTAAACTCTACATAGATACCCCCGGCATTCATTGATAATATTTGTGAAAAGAGAATTTCATAGATGTTAGCGTAACATACTTGAGGTTTGTCGGAAAGGCCCGGGAAGGTACATATGGGGGTTTTAATATCAATGTTAGAAATCATTTAAATGACCTTAAATTAGCAGTTTTGGCATAACAGAGCCTAAATTACTGCAATGTACTTTCTTTTACAAGTGAGACGACTAATGACGAAACTTCAGATAATGTAAATACTTCGTATCGCGATTATCTCAAAGTTATCTAACTTAATGCCGCTCTTTTGCGGCGAAGTCGAGGAAACTCTAAATATCGCGAGATTTCCGGGGCATGAATTACTTATGCTAGTGACAATCGAATGATTCGAACAATTAATATGCCGAAAGCACAATGTATTGCAAAGGGTTGAACTTTAATTAGTAGGTTGTCTTATTATATCCCACGCAACAAGTTACGGGGGGGGGGGTATAATGTTTTTGTCCCGTCCGTCAGTCAGTCAGTGTGTCAGTCCGTCAGTCCTGTTTTTTTGTCAGCGCAACTCCTCATAAACCGCTGCACAGAATTTGGACATACTTTGCATATATTTAGTACACAGTGTGTAGATGTGCATATTACCAGCAAATTCCGATTCCATTATTTTTGCCTTAAGAGTTTTGCCTATTATTGAAGAAACATTCCAGCTAGGTAATAAGGAAATCCACTGGAATCAGCTTTTGTAATGAAATTCCCCCCCAAATTGGTGCTTTGCCTTAAATAATTTCATAAGTACAGTATATAAACAAATTCATATTACTACTTCATAATTTTGTTTCCATCAATTATTTAAAGAGGCTGGGGGGTTGTGGCCATTTTTAGACTATATTGATCTCCTTTAGAAGAAGAGCTCCATATGAAGATATAGAAAATGATCAAATTTTAAAACTAAAATTTTTGAAATTTTTCTTTGCCAAATGATAGTTGACAGCTTCTGATATCATATCTAAAAAATTAAGTTAAATCTGGTGGTTAATTTGTGGTTAATTTGTTGACCCCCAGCCTCCTTAAATGTGTAAATTGTCATATGTTGGACATGGACTTACACTCATTAACAAATCGAAATCACTGAGGAATTTAAATAACAGTTTGTCAGCTTACCTCCTGCACTGAATTTCCTGAAACTTTGTAGGTATTTCAGACATAATGTACAGATTTGTATATTACCAAGAAATTTTGATTTCATTATTTATCTAGAAACTTCAGCCCATTAAAATTTGTAACATACAAAGATTTGAATGTCCTTCTATGCAAGAAGTTTTGATGTAATGATTTTTTGCAAGTAATGCCCCTTTTTGAATTATACTGTGTATTTAATATGCACTGTGCCATTCATTACATGTTGCACTGTCGAGTTTTGGGGGAGCGTGGGGTACATGTATGTGAGCTTGCTCACTTTTTCTTTCATTTGGAATGTTTAGAGTTTTTTTTATCACCTTCCAAAAGTAACGATAATCAGAAAGAAATGGTAGAATTTAATTAAAAGAGTTGGCTTCCTGAAAAAGTATCAATAAAAATGTAACACTTGGGACTGGATTCTCTTAAATTTATAAGCATAGTTCAGCGAATGTTCCGCAATATATTTCACCAGGACTTCTTTCATATTTGTCCTTTAAAAATCCACAATGCTCGATCTCGCGTTGTATGTAACAGCACATTGCCCCCAGCTAACAGACGTTTCCTACCATCACCGCAAAAGAGATCCATAAAGATAAGTAATCGCGATATCAAGTAATCAGATGGCGTCTCCATATGAGTAAAAAATTCTCGAGAGGGACGTTAAATAACAAACAAACAAAAGCAAACAATTCAGATGATAAGCAAAACTCACAAGGTATCTTTTTCTCAGAATACCCTTCCACGTATACCAGTAAAGCGCTAGCAATAACAATCTCAAGTGACCGTGAACATAAAATAAAAGAAGCACATAATAGAATATTTAGCAATTGCTGATTGAATGGAAAACTGAGTTATGTTCGAAATGTGGATCTTTAAAATGACGCGTGTCTATTCTTTAATTTATAATCGATTATGCTAACTGCAATTGTCCTATCTTTCACCATGCTAGGAGCTGGCCCCTTAAGTAAGGGACCCAGAGAGGCCGAAGCCTATGGGACCCCGGTGGGTTGATCTGATTAGATCAAATTAAATACCGAGATAACAAACAGCATTCAAGCTTAATTTTTCATTCAAACTATCCAAATCAGGAGCAGAGCAAACACGGACCCCCTTAACATCAGAGGTGGAATGAGGTGCAGTGGAGAAGTGAACATCCCCTGCCGTGTGTTCGATGCTTTCAATTTACTATCACAGTCTTGACTCTTCACAACCTAGGCCTGGCATAACTGTCTATGATTACTGACACATAATCTTCTGGCTATCATAAATTCCTTGCGAACAGATATTAATAATCTAATAACAGAAATTGAAATAGGCGATCAAGACTTAGTACGAATTCGAAGGATGAAAATAAGAAAAATTTACAAGAAAATATATATCGAGGCCTTTTCTCTTTTCACTCCAAAATGGAAATCCAACTGAAATTTGATAAATGATGTAAGTTCGGAAGATAATTTTAAAAGACAGAGAAACGTCACGCCCTCGATCATATTTTTCTCTTTTCACTCCAAAATGGAAATCCAACTGAAATATGATAAATGATGTAAGTTCGGAAGATAATTTTAAAAGACAGAGAAACGTCACACCCTCGATCATATTATGACGCCCGCGTGGCGCAGTGGTTAGAGCGTCTGCTCTGGAGTCGCGAAGTAAGGAGCCGATCCTTATGTCGCGGGTTCGAATCCACTGCAAGACGTGGAGACCGGTCCTTCGGATGAGACCATAAAAACCGAGGTCCCATGTCTCAGATGTTGGCACGAAAAAGATCCCTCAATGATCAATGACCCTAAGAGCCGAGTACAGATATAAATTTGCAGCCATAAACCGGCAAGTGGTTGCGTCTCCATAGGAGTGAAAAAATTCTCGAGAGGGACATTAAATAAAACAAACAAACAATAAAACAAACAAACAAAATCGATCACATTATATAATTGTATAGACTGACTTGTAAAGAACAGAGAAAATTCAGAATGAAACTATTAAAGGCCCTTTTTTGTGGTTTCCACGTCCCAGGATTCCTTAAACTGAACCTCTGTTGTACATTTAAAAACACTGAAGTTTTCATGTAAGAAATGTTTGTTTTATCACTTCTTAGACTGCGTACAGCCAACCTAGGCCTTTTACCATCCGAGATAGGAGGTAGGTTAGAGTGTAGATAAAGTATTTACTATAATGTATGTAAATCATATACGGTACCAATTTTGATGCATCAGATGCGCACTTCGACAAATTATGTCTCTTCAGTGATGCTCAAGCCGAAACTTTGGAAATCCAAAATATTTAAAAAAAAAAAAAAAGACTTTGAAGAACTGAAAAGCTGCCAAAGACTGGAGCCAAATACATCGAAGGATCAGAGCTAAGCATGAGGGAGATAATCCTTAATTTTGAAATAAATTTCTAAATTTTACCACAACAATTAAAAATATATTCGTATTTTCAAGCTAGTGCCGAAGTACTTAGCAACTGAGCTGTAGAGACCCTCGGCGACTAACAGTCCACCAGCAGAGGGCTGGACCCAGGGGTCATAATACGGTACCAATTTCGATGCACCAGTTTTATGGTCATTATAATCATTCAAAGGAGTCGAATGGGATTTTATTGTGTAAAAACTACAATAGAGAAACTCTTTACTTTGTTCAGGAAACTCTTATATGCAACATATTCGCAGTGGAAACCCCAGTCGACCCCCTTAAGTATGAAAAATATTGTTCTTAAATGTGTCTCCATTACATACATACTGATACTTCTTGAATTGGAATCCGTAACGTATACACATGTATGTAATTAACCCAATCGTTAGAGCAAGAACAATCATGGCCGCCGTGAACCACGCGATATTCCGTGGATCCTCAAAGAACGTCTGAGCCCTGTCTGTGGTGGTTGTTGTGGTGGTAGTGGTTGATGGTATGATGATGGTAATGGAAGCTGTGTCTGACAACAGGCCACCGTCTCGTGCCGTTGCAGTTATGGTGTAAGTTGAGCCGGAAGAGAGTGACGTAATAGCTGCTTTGACGTATAACGACCCAGTGCTAGTAACTCCAAAATAATCACCGCCTAGAGTCAGTTGATTCAGTTCGTATGTAATAGTTCCTGTAATTAAGAAATATGTAAAACTTCACAAAAACATGTATATCAATTTTATCAGGCAATTTTGTGTACCCTCATTTTTCAGCTGGAATCAGAAATTTACAATCATTTCATTTTAGTACACTTTAAAAAAACGCTATCTTGCAGCAATCGAGGCTCTATTAACATCATATCTCTCATAAAACTATTATCAAAGATTACTGACAAGTTAAGTTTCTAAACACAGAGAAATAAATGCTAAGAACCGAATAAAGAGGTGCTTAGATCTCCGTCTGTGGCTGCTATAGAGCCTAATCTAGTTCCCACTGCCACTGTATTTGCGGTTGTAAAGGTGTACGCAGACTGGCCGAACGAAGGTGTATTGTCATTTATGTTGTTCACGGTGATGGTAAGCGTGGCGGTATCCGTCAAGGATCCGTCACTGACCGTGACTGGACACGTAATGGTACCAGACTTTCCCGCTTCGTCCATATCGTAAGCAGACGTAAAGCTCGCAGCCCCTGTGGCAGAGTCTATTGTTATGTCGGTACATGTTGTGCTATATGTTAACGTTGATGAAGCGTCGGGATCAGTAGCCTGAAAATTTGGATTACCAATGGAGGCCCCTGCCTAGACAATATAAAAAGAAAATGAAATTTACTCATCAGAGCTCTTACTGTATTTATCCGTCATAGCAAGTCATCAATTTCAAATTGACATTAAATAAAGTAATAAAATTTTACATCATTACCCCAGCCTCGTTCGTTATGAGAGTGTAAGAATCTTTAGGAAACGCGGGAGCCTCGTTTTGGTCTATAATACTGACGGTGAGGGTTGTAGTGTCAGAGGCTGCGGCTGCATCTCTGACAGTGACTGTTATCAAAACTGTTCGCTCAGCTACAGATAGGGTCTCATAATTTATAGAACTTGCAGTCTTCACAATTCCACCTGTATATTAAAAGAACAGTAAACAAGGTAAGATCCGTTTTTGCATGCTGCGACGTGTAAAGAAGAACAAAAAACAAACAGTGTCATTATTCTTTTTTACTCATACAGTCTTAACAGTATGTTGATTGCGAAAACGAATAAAACGATATATATATTTACAAATAATATCATAATATAGAGAACATGTACAATGATACAGCCTAAATTACGATCTTAAATAATTTTGGCATTGAGTCACTGTGCTTTATATTTCAAATTGGTTACATACATCTGCAAGGCACATTTCATAACCAAGTAGAAGTAACATTGAAATTGCCTTACTTGACGACTCAATGGTGAAGTATGTTCCTCCGGAGGCGGGGCTGTAGGTAGCAGAGTAGGTCAGTACTCCCCCATTAACATCAGTGGTAGTATATTGTCGTACAGTGGTTCCCACTGCAACGTTCTCCGACACGGATACAGGAGTCGTCAGTTTGTTAGTAATCGTGGGAGGCGAATTTACATCTGTAACACAGATACGTACACATAGACTAAAGGGATTCATAAGGAAGTGGTGCAGCAATATATATGTTGAAATTCATTACTTCGAACATCGACATCTCAAATACCATAGAACCTGGAAATCTAAGCCACCCTTTAATGTATTATACATCATTACCCCATCTCAGTATAACATAAAATCCTACGATATCTTGAAGATATTTTCTCAATCCCATCGAGTTCACTTTGATTTCATCAAAAATATAAAAAAATTCAAGATCAAATTTGAAGATTTTTGAATGGGGAAAATCATTTTCAGAGTTTACAAGGTGATTGGAAAAGTTAATAAGGAATTCAACAAAGACCGAATTTTCCTCATTTTTTATTGATTTTATCCAAGTCTACTGAAGACACCGTTTGCTTTAGAATACAAATGCATGAATGATAAAACAGAGACAGGAGCTTGAATTTTGTTTCCCGATTCGAAACTTTTTTTTAAAATGTTTTCCTCAAATATTTTTTATCCAAATAAATCATGGAAACAAACACAGTCTATTTTTCATCTTGAATAGTCACATTAGAATTTGTGACAACAAAAAAGTTTCAAATTACTCCGCTTATTCAATTATTTGACTTTTTCTGCACTCAAAAAATGTTATTTTTCTGGCATAAAAAATTTAACAGCAATAAAATCATTTGAAAGTAATGACATTTTTCTGAATTTAAGCAGAATGGTTAAAATTATCTTATAAATTCAGAAAAAAAAATTAAAAGTGTGGGTCTGTGATGTTAATTTTCAGATATTACTAAAATTGGCATGTCAGGGTTTTCCGGACAAAAAAAAGGTTTAATTAATGGGTTTTTTGACTTATGAAAAAGTGATTGAGAGTGATCTCCCGTGTAGAATTTTCTAAGCGGTGAAAACCAATAAAGCGTATGATACAGAAGTAAACAAAAGCACGTGTACTTCCTTCAACGGGTAGAATCATCTATACAGCAAGAACTAAAAGTAGTAATGGCTTTGTTGTACATTGTATTTAGGGGACAAAGAGCCAGCAGATCGTCATTTACCATAGAACATATGCTTGGTATACTGGGAAAGGCTATGATGTGACATATGCTGAAAGGTAGACCGACTGAGATCAGTTCTTAGGTTGTATGAAGGAAGCAGCATTTCGTAACTACGAATAAAAAAATAAATCTATGCCAATATTTTTATGACAATGTGTTTTAATCAATTCAGTCAATTACATGATAGAAACAATCAACCAGTCTGACTCTCTTGACCATTATGAATAATATGTAATTATAGGTAGGGCAAAAATGCAAAAAATATGGAAAAAATGTGATAATTTGGCGCTTTTCCAACAAATTCCCGTAGGCTCTAATAGTAAAATTTGACAACGTTTGAGATGGACCCCTAAGAAATCGGGACGGTAAACATTCGAATTTTTAATCTTAAAACAATAAATATAATAGTAAAAATTAATTCAAGAAAATTTATCAAAATCTGTAAGGTAGAAATAATTTAGACTCGGCCTCGTTAAATTGGGCTATTTTTTTTTTTTTCGAGGACTTTCACAATATATTAGCTATATTTGTTAAATATGATGATAGAATCCATGACAGTTAACTTAATACATAATTTAGGACCAGCATAAAACACTTCATTGCACAAAATAACTCTGTGTGCATGCTGCATGTAAAAATAGGAACACAGACATAACAATACTGTAAATACTTCGAAAGAGAAAAACTGATAATTTTCTTCTATAAAATCTTCCGCCACAAAATATAGTTCCTCACTTAATGCTTTCGGTAAGGAATTTAATCATGGGGTTTTGATAGAATATAGTTTTATTAGCATTGTAGAATTCAAATTTATTGTAAGAACTAAAACATTATGCAGATTTTTAAATAGAGGTCAAGACAAAAATCTGCTCCAAAAGCTCAAGAACAAACAACTTTAACTAGTTTTGTTGGTAGTTCGACATATGTGAGACTTCATGGATTCTCTTAAATTATCACTCTGCTAATTATACTTTAATCTTACGTCGATATAGTACCTTTTACAAAAATTTTGAAAAATATATATATACTGTATAGGGGATTAATTTCACGGGTTGTAATTTTCACGTTATTCTCTCCTCGGACACGATCGCGGTTTGTTGAATTCGGTATATAATAAAAGTTACCTCCCTTGTCTTTATCCATGTGTGTTCCATGGTATAGCTACAAACGATATTTATCAGTGTTATGTATTCACTTCACGATCAACAGGGTAGGTTTATATAAAATGATTAGATTTAGTAGTTAATTAATTAATTAATAATTAATCAAAACAAGTGCCATTATAATTATTTTTTTTACTATAAACGTCAAATAACTTTCCTATATGCTTAAATTACGATGAGTCATGTGTACACATCTTTCTGAATGTATAACACATCGCAGTGAAAAAAACTGGACGCTAATAAATGTATTTATGTGGGTAGACGTAATAATATCCTTCCGTATCTTCAGCAAGTTCGATAGTTATTCGAATGATATTTTTTTAATCCAAAATTTCCATTAAAACTTATACGCATAATGCTAATGCAGGTAACAAGTACACGTGGTAACGTTACGCACGGGTAATCAAAACCCATGACCCAAGTGTTTTGTTTGATGAAACATATATTTATTAAAACAGCTTTTTAACTATAAGCACAGGTTATTAGTTGCTTATTTGAATTAACGTAAAGCGTGATAATTAAGATAATTGACAAGTACTACTCATAATTACTGAATGACCATGTATTGTACGTACATGTATATATACCAATCGTAGTATATTCTCAAATTTCCAAATAAAACATTGAGGTTTAATATTTAAAACTTATTCACTGTTTCTTGAATTCACGGATTTATTAACACCGTGAATATAGCGAATATTAACACCGCGAGTTATTTTCCCCCTATACAGTATAAAGATAGATAGATAGATAGATATGTCATGTACTAGGAATTTATCGTCATACTTGTAAAGGACATATCAATAGGCCATTTGTCAATATATGAAAAATTCGGGTATGAAATATTTGAAATATATATGAGCATATCTACCCAAAGAACTAGGAAGTGTCCCATCCCTTTGAGGGTTATGTCAGAATCTTAGCTTAAAAGTTCTGCTGAATGATATCACTGAAGGATGACGTTTACTCAGAGTTTCAGATTACAGAAACGGAATGCTATGAAGTACGATAAGTTAAATCGAAAAGTGTAGAAATAGACAAGAAAACAAAGTGTGAACTCAATATCAGTTTTAAAATCTAAGATTTTATTATCTGAAGAAAATATGCAAGAACAAAAGTAAATATATGGTGGTGCAGAGGAAATTTGGACTATTTTTTTTTTTTTTAATTTTTGTCACAAAACTTTTTTCTTGCAATATCATTCACAAAGTCAAGATTATATGTGTTTTTAAACATCATTTTACATATTACGGTCACCCGCGTGGCGCAGTGGTTAGAGTGTCTGCTCTAGAGTCGCGAAGTAAGGAGTTGATCCTTACGTCGCGGGTTGGAATCCCACTGTGGGACGTGGAGACCGGTCCTTCGGATGAGACCGTATAAACCGAGGTCCCATGTTGCAGTAGGTGCTGGCACGAAAAAGATCCCTCACTGCTCAATGGTCGTAAGTGCCAAGTATAGGACAAAATTTGCAGCTCTCTACCGGCAAGTGGTGGCGTCTCCATATGAGTGAAAAATTCTCGAGAGGGACGTTAAACAACATACACACAAAACAAATATTATGTGTAATAAAGCTCATGTATTATTTCAAATAATTGAATAACATGCAATGAAGAATTTAAAAAAAAAAATATGAACGAAAACCATTCCAGACAACATATCTCAATAATCTGATCGTTGACGTCATATAATCTTAATATCAACAGAAGAAGGGCAACAAAAGTAAACGAGGCTTTAAATATTTCAGAGTTCTTATCATTCAGATTTTGTAAAACTAGATGAAATGCCACGCGAGCGTGGGGAATTGAATTTATACCACTACCGACAGAAAATTCTAATATATATTGTAGTTTCTACTGACAGCCTACATGCTTATACATGTAGCAGGAAGAAATACTTTTTTCAAAATCCCGCATTTAGCTCTGGAACGGATGTAGATTAAAAATTAAAAATATTTAATTTCCATAAAATTTTGCTTCTTTTAAAATATGTTTGTCTAAGTTACATATCCTTCCTTGCTTGTTACTTGTTTCCTGAAGATATATCCGTAAGTTTAAAGAGTATTCATAAATACTTTGTATTATATTATTTTCTTAAATATTTTTAAAATTAAAAACTTAAAGTTTTTCCGATTTTTCTTGACATTTTTATTACATATTCATACTATGCATTTAAAAACCCTATAAAACATTTTTTTTGCAAATAAAACAATTTTTAACATTCTCTCCGGAAAAATACAAAAAAAAAAAAAAAAAAAAAAAAAAAAATCTGACGTAAATAATTAAGAGATAATTTTAGTCTTTCAACGCTGAAACCTTAGTTTAAAAGGGATAAATAAAGTTTTGGCTATAACTTAATCTGCGCATCGTGTGCAGTACTTTCGTTCAACTCTGTACTCTTTATTCGGAAGCGGCCATGAATCAACAACCAAGGTAATGTTGAATGTTCTGTAAAATAATTCTTTTGGGATCCCTAAAATAATTTTCATCAGTTTAGTTTTGTGAATTAGTACGCTACCTGTAAAGTGGTGCACTATAAATCAAATCGTTTAAATCACAGTTATACTGTGTAAACTACAACCGTTCCCGTCGTATACAGAGTGAAACAAAAGAAAATATCTTATTGGACTTTTATTTTGAGCGGGACTGCTTTGTAAAGCATTTTAAATGACAAACCTAACTTTGAAATCTAAATCCAGAAAATACGAAATATATTTCCCCTAACGAAGGGGTACAGCCTAGGGTTGGACTATCGGCACCTATGAACTTTTTGTTATTTCTTTTAAAACGAACAGTAAATATTTTACGGACTGACGACACATTCCTCGAATATTTATAGCTTGCTTTAGCTTTCGTGGGTTATCCTCGAACAAATTAAATGGCTCTACACAGTATTTGTTCATTTTATTTTATAACAAATTTTCCTAATTACTTTCGTAAAATCTAGTGCTATTGTTTTAAAAGCCTACGGTAATTTTACTTGTACTTTATATACTAGTTTTCTGATTCTATACATTTTCGTCAAATTAAAATAAAAATAATAAAAAATATTATTTCTTCAGATAAAGTACACCTACATGTCGCATCCCGCAGCTCGCTCTGTTCACTTGTGGTTTGATTTACCACAGAACGCAAAATGTGTTTGTAATGAAGTCTGTGTCACTGAATCTCAAAAGGGGACTTATTTCTGCGTCATAGGATTCAGTCGCGGATATAGCGGCATACAGGAACTCTATGATGGAAAGAAGATGGCGATCTTTTCTGTCTGGGACAGCGAGACGAATACCGACCCTTCTGAGGATAAAAGAGTACAGGTCATATACAGTGGAGAGGGAGTTGAGGTTTCTCGATTTGGTAATGAAGGAACGGGTGGTAAAACCATGATGCCTTACGAATGGGTAGTCGGCGAACCTGTACAATTCAAATTGGAAGCCGAAAACCTCGATGAACTTTGGACAGCTTATTCTTGCTACATTAAAAACAGTTGTTCACCAGATTGGTTTCATATGGCAACAATGAAAACGATCACAAATGGCGAATTGCTTAAGGGAGTGTACTCCTTTGTTGAAGATTTCCGGCGAGATGGTGCTAGTCATTGTGAAATCCGTTCGGCAAAGTTTGGGGACTGCTTCTGTATGCAGGATGATGGTCACAAACTATGTAACCGAGCACAATTTACTGCAGATAGTTCCACACCGCTAAATATTAATGCTGGATTAAGTGACAATAAATTTTATTTAGCTACTGGTGGTGAAACTAAGAACACGAGCACACCACTCAATGGTTTTATTACCAAGTCTTCTGACCCTGAGTGAAGAAACACGACACAAATAAAGTTAGGACTGGTGTTGGCATCTTATGGACTTTAGTGCAATATATTTCATGTACATTTATAGCTGGGAGTAGGGTCGAGGGAGAACTAATATTACCTGGCAATGAATAAAGTTTTAAGACAAATCATGTTTCTTGTGGTTGTACATAGTAATAAATGTCCAATTTTAGAAGACTTACTCGTGATGGCGACCGACAGAACTTTTGGTCCGACCTTAGACCTGCTATCGTTGACATAAACATTGATGTCATATCCGCCAACCTGTGTTCCCTCCAGGGAGGCTGTCGTCAAAATGGCACCCGCTGTTGATAAAGCAATCATAAGTTTATGAATAATGCAAGTATAGTATATTCTTAATAACTGGTACTCAACATAAATGACAATCACACAGTTCTTAAATTGTCATGTGGATGTGAAAGTTCGCAATATGAATTATATGCGAACCCTTACACTTAAAAAATATATCTCTTTGCTTTTGTTCTTTGGCTATTGCTGTAAAACTTACAGGCAAATACTTCGAAAGGACAGCCAGTGGGGTCACATACGATTTCAAAATACAATTGATCACCCTCGGCGTCTGTAGCCTGAATGGTAAATATGGTAACACCACTTCCGGTGGTTGTACTATCAACACTGATAGACGCTGTAATATTCAGTGAACAATAAATTAATATCTTAAGGTGAATACTTTTAATTCATTTCTTTTTTTATTATTTCTCAACATTTTTTACAAAAACATGACCTCTTTTATTTCTCAGTTGTCTGAAAATAGTTTACACACATACACAAACACACACACACACACACACAAATAAAAGACCGGGAAGTAATTATGCATGAAGTAATCAATTCATGTGTCTTTAATATCGATCAGATAAGGTTATTTCCCTAATACTGTGGTAACATTTGTAACAGTTCAATCATTACAAAGCATTAATTGTTTGATATTGAAAATATACAAATACGTCTATGTATTCTGTGGATGATCTTTGGATCAATGTATCATTGTGGTAACATATGTTTGATCCTAAGACACTTTTATGTTAATATACATGGGTTTTTTTTCAGTGTAATAAAACCAAGAAGATGTGCAATACCTGATCATTCATAACTATACTGGTCGTCCTTTTTTTCATTTCCATAAGGAAATACAGTTGATTACAAGCTATACAAATAAAATTTATTTAAATTTAAAAAAAGGATCACTTGGACAAAAAATGGACAGGCCTGATCTGTAGGAAATGATTTTAATGCTTTATCTGTAGGTCAAGCAGCAAAGAAAAGTGTTTTTGCATTTTCCTAAATTTGAAAGCGAAACATATTCAAATTCTTTTTTTTTCATCAATTTATACAACTCTGCAAAAACTTTTTTTCTCTCATTTCATGTAGTTGATTCCCATTTCCATTCATGTGTAGCAAAATAATCCAAAAAACCCGCTTTTCAGATTTTTTACTTCCTGTGTTGCTCGAAAAGTTATGATAATAAAAAAGATAGAATTTTAACTAGGTCATTGTATTTTATAGATCCAGAGGGATTCTTACCAGAATTTAAAAAAAAAAAAATCTCCTTAAAAAAGTGTTTGCAGCACTTTGTTAACCAAATGAGCTATTCCTATAGCCGAATAAGGGTTAACTAGAACATTTGGTATATACAACTCTGTATCAGATTGCTTTTAAACATCATTAGGTTCGATGTATGAGGATTTCCTGTGTTGACAACAGGAAGAATGTGTACCTTGGTAAAGAAAAAATAATTCCAATTAACAAATTTAAGTATAACTTTATAGGTGTCATTTTTAGACCCCACTCCCCCTAAGGGGGCAGTGGTGCTCCGAGTCCAATTATTTTTTAAATAATATCTATTTTAAAACATTTACAGATGAAGATACGAAACTTTCATTTTAGAGCAGACTTCCCCCCTAAAGAAAGGGTTTGACCAATGTACATTGAAAGCGAGTCCAAATTAGACTAAAACTACGAATGATTTAAATTTTGGAACATTGGAATTATGGACATAAATATAAAGGATTAATCTGAGTTTTGCACTAATTTTATTTTCCCGGATTTACAAAATATTCCACCTCTTACTCTTTAAAGGTGATCCATTGAAAAAATTCAACTGTAACCTTTATCCAAAGATATTTATGAAATCCAGTAAAAATGTATGAGATTCTTTCCTAAATAAAGCTTTTCTACGAAACAGAGACATTTATAAAAGAAAAAAAGTATAAAGTTTAATTTTTTTTACTTCATTTTTTTTAAACTGATTTCTCTTTTGCACCTAATCCAACCTCTGGAATTTCCATGGATCCGTGTTCTATGCCCTGTTCACGGATTTGTATTGTTCGTAGGTTTTATGAAATCGATCACTGTTCGTTATCTTCACCTGATTCCTTTTGAATGCAAATGAGAAGTAGATATATACATCTGATTATTATGAAAAGCAGATAAGTATGTTCATTTTAAGAAGCCTTACCAGGAACATTGGTGATAGAGGGAGGTGAATTTTGGGTGATATGGACTTCCAGATTCTTTGTGTCAGTGGCACTAGAGGGGGACCCCGTGCATGTCACCGAGATGGTGTAGCTACTGGGGTAGGCAAGTCCCGCGGGGTTTGCAACGACATACACACCATAATTTGCTGAAAAGAAAAGAATCAGAATAAAAGTTAGTAAGACTGCTTTTTAGCTTTAGCGATCTTTTACCCCCACAACTTTTATCTTTCTCCTTTGCTTGTTCATATGGAACCCCCCCCCCTTTCCCAATCACTTTAATTTCGTCATTATGATGAAACTCATGAGGATGGATAAAGATGTATATACTTCTTTAATGCTACTCTTGTCTTTATGTCATTAACCTGGGAAAGATAAAATGAAATGCTATTGAACTGAAGTGCCAAATTTCTAAAAGTACCCTTTTGGCATCTAAGTACTAGTAAACACTGGACATGCCATTAAGAAAAAAGACAATGATGGTGCATTTCAAATGCAATTTTTGCGATGTAATATCAAACGTACCGTATTTAATGAAAAGAAATGTCTAGTACTCGTAGATCTATAGATATTATATAACTATACGCTAACAATTTAATTAAAGTTAATACTTATATAATAGTATAAATGTTCTCCGCATATTGCTTTGATTCTACACTTTATTTTATTACACTTACTTGTGCCGGTCACAATTTTCATAAAGAAATTTGTCACCGTGTTCATACTACAGGTCACAGTGTCCCCCGTGGTCACACCGGTGTAAGACACGGTGTGGAGGAGGGTCTCCGCCGAGGTGTCCTCACGAAGGTCTACGGCTGTTGGTAAGTTGCTGATTGTTAATGCTTCAAACAAAGATTTCAAAATAAATAGTATGGATGGAGGGAGAGAGAGAGATGTTTCACTCAAAAACCCATTTTACAAACTGCATGCTATAATCTCAGAATACTATGTATACATATTACAAACTGTACATAAATAGAGGATATTCAGTATTTTTAGTTGGATATGGAATTTATTGCACGAGTGGGACAGGATTTTTTTATATATATTTTCACGAGTGCGAAACACGAGTGAAAAGATTTTTAAAAAATCCTGTCTCACGAGTGAAATAAATTCCAAATCCAATACAAAATATTGATTTTTCTGTTTTAATATTACATTTTCTTTGATTTTCCCTTTGCCCCTGTCTTTTCTTAACACGGTGCCGCAGACAGTGACGCCATAGTTGAGCGGTTGACACATCATACATGCAGTTTAGCATATTGTGTGATTGAAAACGTAATATGGATTATTGCAGCATATTTAGGAAGAAATTGGCAGTCTCTATCAAGACGCTTTTATATATAGTTACTATCACTATCTTATGACAAGCCATAAATTATTTTTACTTACTTTGATATCCTTTCACACTGTGAGAGAATATCACTTTTATTCAATAAATAAATCACAGTATTTCACTGTTGAAAATGTAATAAATCGTGTTATGTATACTAATCTTCAATGTCGATACGTAATGTTCTAACCTAGCGGTTTTTACACTTACGATTTATTATCACCCATATAAAAATTACAGTATTTATTACATTTTTAACAGTGAAATACTGTGGTTTATTTATTATTATTTATATCCTCTATTTATTACATACTATAAGAAGGCGATAGTTCACTAGCTGATCAAACATTTTATTTAAAGATTGACATATTTAATTCACTGTATACAAATGTTTTGTCGAGAATGACTCTTTGACATACAGGACTTTCACCTTCATACATTACTATCTGAAGCACATGTTGTTCCTGTTATTACAAAAGATAGTATATTTTCCTTGCATATACGTAAGTTCCAATTTTTTTCTGCTAAATCAAACGAACTTTCATTTAGGTAAGTCAAAAGGTACATAACTACAACACCTTTTGAAAAATAAGATTGTTTATGGTTGACTTTCACACTTTGAACGCCTACAATTAGGACTCATTAACACAGAAGGAGAGAACATAAAATTATATATTTTCGACAGAAAACGTCTTGAAGGATTATTGTTTTTTTTTTGGCATAAAAACAGCTCACTATTCTCCAAGTACAATATTAACATTTTTTTATACACCAACATTTTAATCAGCATTCATATGCATGCATGTGAATAAAATAGAAAAGAATTTGACTATTTTAAGTCAGATCGTTACATATAATTTGATTGAAATTATTAATGCCTTTTTTTTTGATGTGGCATAGTTTGAATGCTGATTAAAGAACACTGCGTTAGCACGTACCAGTATTAATGCAAGACAAATTTCATTGTTAATAAAGACATAATATATAAGCAAACAACGTTTCTTATCTAAAATTTGATTACCGATTCTGTAATGAATTAAGAACTTACCATTGATGATATGTATAACACAGAAAAATACTATCAAAACAAGTTTACACCTGAAAAAATTAATTTTCTCGGCCATTTTAGTTGTTGAAATTTAGGATCAAATATAAAATCATCAAAATGTTTTAAACATATATAAATGCGTAATAGCTCATCATATTCGATCGATTGTAATTGAAAAGTTCCTGACTCGATTTCTATAAGTTTTTGTTAAAAGGCAAATAATATATTTAAAAGGAATTCAGAAGCGATGAATCGGTGCTCTTACATACAGCTGAAATCACACGGTTCAGAGCACGTAAATTGAGCCCGAAGTTTGCCATCATTTCCTCTACCTGATTGTCAGTGCATTCAGTTTAACATTTGTATATTATTCTCTGCCAATCATTACAAAATGTTGAAGATGAGTAGACTATATACATGTCGTTAAAGGAACCACATGCTCAATGTGGTGATTTACAGGGACGATCATTATTGTATAATAAAAATGGTTAAAATTAAAGACGTCACACTACTGGGTATGTTAATATTTAAACTTTATATTCCCTATACTTAAGTCGATTCTGATATTTCTGAAATCACATAAAGAAACGCAGGGATGTCATAGAACTTTTCGGGACATAGACAGGGCCCGCTGTACGGAAGCGTATTAGGGCCGCAGCGGTATCTTTTTTTTTAATTTGTTTAAACAAATTATTAATTTGTTTTAACAAATTATCAATTTGTTATAATAAATTATCAATTTGTTATAACAAATTAATAATTTGTTATAACAAATTAGTAATTTGTTATAACAAATTACTAATTTGTTGTAAAAAATTAATAATTTGTTATAACAAACTACTAATTTGTTATAACAAATTACTAATTTGTTATAACAAATTGAAAATTTGTTATAAATGGAAAAAGTGGCTTTATTTACAATGAATAAACAATATTTATTAATTTTTGTAACACTATTCTTAAAGTAATTACATGTGTATACTTATCAAAAACTTTTTAATTGACCCGTCATTTTAAATTTTCCAAGAAACATAATGACTTTTTAAAATATTTGAAAATTATATTTCATGAACTTGTACATGAACGTTTCTGGATGGCTATTTGTTAATGTAAGATATGCCTTATGCAATAAAACGTTTCAATGAAAAAATAATGTTAGACGATAAGAAATTAAATTTTTAAAATTCGTGAAATACATGCATAGCTTTTCACGGTTGATTTGATTAGAACATATTTTATTGCAATAAATTCATACATTGGAATTGGGCACAAGGTCTAAAAACGTAAGGACATTGGCAAGTCACGGTTATCCGGAGAAAAAGGATTAAATCATGGATTTTTTCACTTATAAAACAATCATTTCGCGTAATATGCCCCTAGTAAAATTATTCATGAGTGATCTCCCGTTTTAGAACTCTCTTAACAGTGAAAATCAGAAAAGAGTATGTTACTTATTAAAACATGAAGCGAGCGAGATCATCCTCAATAGATTCGTTTCAACAGCAAGAAAGAAAAGCAACGATGACTTTGTTGAACGCTGTGTCCAGGGGAGAGACAGTCAGCATATCAATATTGATCACAGTTATGCTGGTAAGCGCAATGATGTTGAAACAGGTAATGATAGTGCAGGACGTGTGCCTGAAACACCAGACCGTGCCTCGTCAAATGACTTTTCTGCTTTCCGTGACGGACACATTTTTAGCAGTGAAGAAGATGTAGGTGAAAACAAGGACAGTTCGACAGTGATTAGTTGGAGGCAAGGTAGAAGAACAGTCGAACTGGGATTCTTAGTTGATAAACTGTTAGAGGGTTGTTCTGTCTGTCATTCCAAAGAGGGTGTTGCAGTTCTTTTGTTATTTTCCCTAAATGTGTAGCAGATGAAAAGGAGAAATTTAAGTTACTGAAAACGATGTTAATTTTTTCAGATATATACAGCACAATGTAGAATAATATTTAGAAGCTGCATATTGACTTCCAATTTGCCATTAAATGAAGTGTAAATTAGTTACATATCAAAATATATAAGATTTTCTGTTTTTTAAAATAGGGAATCCCCGTTGTTCTGATAAATTACCTCCTTGAAACGGAATGAATTTGATATATGCACAAAGAGACAGGAATTTTCTCCAAAACTGCCATTTCCGATTTTTGTTTCAAAGAGGCATATTTATGAAAAACACAAAAATTGAATAAAAATTATTATACGTTGTACATACGAAATGCAAAATATGTACATAAAAAACCCCGCAAAATTAAAGAGTGTCTGAAATGGTCTAGTAGTTATGCTGGTGGACTCCTAACGAATTATTTTACCTGAGAATGGGTTCGAATCCTGGAATGGGTCATTTTTGCATTTTTTTTCCTTCACTTTTTTCATATATGGAAGTGCAATAAAATATCTATCTTAAAGGTGCTTAGACACAGATTGAACTTAATATTTTCTCAAATTTTCTGTATAATATCACGACTTATATATTGCAATAGCATTTCACTCGAAAGTATAATTAAAAACTTATTTTATCTGGAAATTATTGGAACTACGAATTCCGGGACGCGTTTGATTAACACATCTTTGCACTTACACAAATTTTAACTTCATCCTTAATATTTAAGAAAAGAAGCGATTTTGTTACGTATTAATGAAAAATATTACATCTATAATCCAGAAAATTCAGAGTAGAAATGTTCGAAAGCAAAACCAACTCACAAGTATTGTCAGTCCGTGATATGTGATGTGTACAGAGTTTAACAAATTGAACACACCCGTGAAACGTAAACTGTTTTTGTAAGCAGTGCACGAGCTCTGTTATTGTTAATGTTTACGATTCACCGGGTGTGTTCAATTGTTCAAAACTCTGCACACACCACTGAGCACGGACTTACAATACTGTGAGTGGGTTTTGCTTTCGAACATTTCTACTCTGAATTTTCTGGGTTATAGTTTTAATATTTTTCATTAATACACAACAAAATTGCCACTTTTCTTAAGCATTAAGAATAAAATTAAAATATTTGAAACCGCAAGGATGTGTCAATCCAACGCGTCCAGAAATTCGAAGTTTTAATAACTTCGAGATGAAGAAACATTTTTATTATATTCTAGTATGAAATGCTATAGCAACATATAAGTCATGAAATTATACAGAAAATTTGAGAAAATATTAATTTCAAATCTGTGTCCAAGCACCTTTAAGAGAGCGAGGGAAAGAGAGTGAGAGAGAGAGTGTCAAGAAGTTAATGAGTAATATTTTAAACGCATGCAGATTTAAATTGTCTTCCTTGATACTGTGACCTAAAACTAATGACATAATGCTATTATTTAGTTGAAAGGCGATGTCTTGGAAAATATTGTTTTTAAATAATTTATTTTTCACATAGTTTACTCATTTTGATTATTTTTGGTCTGTTATTCAGTGGCCAAGATTTGATTTGAAACAAATGGAATGTCTTGGATGTAGCATAAACAGTGTGATTATGGGAACAGTTTTATTTATTTAAAAAAATATTCACCGTATATCTTTCAAAATGCTGTGCAAGGTGCACTGGCCATTGCATGTTCTTTTTATTGTTCAAGCCTTTCTCGTACAAAACGGCAACAGTGACTCATACATGTAAAATAGATAAAATAAAAAGGTTAACGTTCACTAAAAAGTCGCCATTCGGTTCCTACGTTAGGAAAAACTATGCATGAAATAAACGTAAAATGTAAAGTTTTGCTATATCTAGCTGGAAATACCCGCCGTAAACACACTCATCTACGTAGCTTTTTGTATATTTAGACATAACTCTTCATGCGTCGTGGGTATTTCAATGTCCTTCTCAATATAGGGAATAATCGTGAGTCTTTCCATTGAATATCACAGATATTGTGAATGAGAGACGCTATATGGGTTACGCTCTCTTTTATACATATAAGGTGTACATTGTGTGATGGCATCAACATTGTACCGACAGGAAAAAGACATGAGATCAATGAGTCTTCAAGCGGAAAAAGAGTTTGGGATGTAAACACCAAGTTAGCTTTAGGTAAAAGTTATTAAAGCTTTGTTTTATGATATGATCCGTGTAAATAATACAATGAAAAGTTATATTACTTTTTAAATCACTCATAATTTATGTCAACTGATAAATTAATCTACAAACATCTACTATTTGAATACAAATGCATTACGAAATCATGACATAAAAACATGGCTCATATAAACTGTGTTTGATTCAGGTATTTTACATGGTGGCATTGGTGAAAGGAAGATGTCGAATTTATTGTCTACACTTAATACCCCCCCCCCCCGACTCTAAAGGAGAGAGAGAAAAAAAGGATGTGCAAGTGAAATTGTTGTCCAGACTAGCTGTTCAGCTGCTGCTGCAAAGGAAAAAGAAATGACAGGGTAATTTAGTAATATATACATGTTTAGCTTCAAAACTCTGCAGATGAATATATGGATCAATACGGAAGCCCATTTAGGACCTATCAAAAATATTTTTGAATTCGTTATTAATAATAACGTTTCTTCGTTTGGCAGAAAATTCAAAACAAGTGATTTTATTGGTCTGTAGAGATGACTATAGAGGGTTAGGAGGTGGATAAAATATACAGGTTGGTAAAAGAATATTTCTAGAACTAGAGAATGAAAGGTAGTTGATCGACCAATGTTGGAAAGTGGACAAATACATCCCCAAACCGTGCGCAGAAAATCATGCGCCGTAAATTGCACCATATTTGCATTACGGAATATGTAGCGTTATGGTCAAAGACAAAAATATAAAACCATGACGCTACAGTTCTGCAGGTAACGAAGTATCACATAGATCTCTGAAACATTCAGTTCTATCAAATGAAATAAATCATATTAGACTTCATGACATACATATCTATACTTATTAATTAATAAATTTTGCAAATAAACTCCGAAACGCGTGCACCAGGGTTGTTACTTACTCCTCTAACAATACCACTGCATGAAAATTTGGCTTTACAAAACAAGTAAAGATGATGTAAATTTAATATTTACAATGCCTTTAATTGGCTTTTCTGAAAAAAGTCAAAGTTGGAAAAGGTAACCTTTACATTAACTTTACATGCACTTAAATATGATGTAATGTCCCACTTTTTCTTGACTTTACAAAAAAGTAAAGTTAATATTTACAAACAATAAACACAGTATTTGGGGTACATTAAATCTGATAATTACAAATATTAAATTTAATTAAATACCATCTTTAATAGCCACA